AATTCTCCACCCCCGCAGCAATCTGTCCAATCGTGGGCATGTAGTGTGCCATCCAGACCCCCCCAATAGGCTCCAGCAGAGTGAGAGATTTGCAGCAGGAAGTTTGAATATGGAAGTGGGATCGATCGAAGCTCTGTGTCCGGAGAGAGCGAGGTGGGCCCCAGGAGGGACCGTACATTGAGGTATATCACCTGGATCAGGGCTGTACTGAGAGCACAGGAGGAATAGAAGAACTACAGAGGGAGGACACTGCGAGGGAGGACCAACATAACAGGGAGATGTGACTGGAGGAGGATGACATGGGATGGGGAAGTAGGACATGGGATGGAGGAGGAGGAGGACATGGGATGGAGGAGGACATGGGATGGTGGAGGAGGAGGACATGGGATGGAGGAGGAGGAAGACATAGGATGAAGGAGGAGGAGGACATGGGATGGAGGAGGAGGAGGAGGACATGGGATGGAGGAGGAGGAGGAGGACATGGGATGAAGGAGGAGGAGGACATGGAATGGAGGAGGACATGAAATGGAGAAGGAAGAGAACATGGAATGGAGAAGGACATGTGATGGGGAAGGTCTGAGAAGAGGAGGACATTTGATAGAGGAGATGAGACTGAAAGAGGAGGACGTGGGATAGGGGAGATGAAAACGGAAGAGAAAGACATGGGGTGGGGGGATTGGACTGGAAGAGGAGAACATGGGATGGGGGATGGGACTGGAGGAGAACATGGGATGGGGGGATGGGACTGGAGGAGGAGAACATGGGACGGAGGAGGACATTGGGGACATGGGATGGAGGAGGAGGACAAAGTATGGAGGAGATGGGAGTGGGGAGGAGGAGGCCACGGGATGGAAGAGATGGGACTGGAGGAGGACATGGGAAGGAGGAGATGGGACTGGATGAGGAGGACATGGGATGGAGGAGATGGGACAGGAGGAGGGGGACATGAATGAGGGAGATGGGACAGGAGGAAGAGGACATGCCCAGATTTGGTTGAGATACATTGATGATGTCTTCCTTATATGGAGAGGAACATCAGAGGAATTAAAACTGTTCATGGAGGAGTTAAATCAAAACTCCTTCAATATTGGACTCACATATGTGTTTGATGAGAGGTGTATTTCCTTTCTTGACCTGGAAATTAGACTTGAGGACAAGAGACTCCTTACAAAAACGTTTAGAAAACCAACTGCAGCTAATACCTTATTAGAGGCTAGAAGTTATCATCCACGTTCACTGATTTCAGGAATTCCGGTAGGACAGTTCCTGAGATGTCGGAGAAACTGTTCAAATATTAATGACTTTAGGATGGAAGCGCAGGACCTCTATAAAAGGTTTAGAGAACGGGGATATTCTCATTCCCAAATTAGAAAAGCTCGGAGACGGGCATATCAAACCAACCGGAAGAGCTTATTGTCCCCAAAAAAGGATGAAAAGGTTAAAGTAAGTGAACAACCTGTTAGAATGATAACTCAATTTGGAGCCCAATGGCAGGCTGTGAAACAAATGTTAGAAAAGCATTGGAAGATTCTAACCCAATGCCCCAAATTGAGCAAAATTGTAGGTGAGCGCCCCCAAATGGTAGCAAGAAGAGCACCAAATCTTGGTGACCTCCTTATCCACTGACTATCAACCGTTAAAGCAAACAACATGGCTGAAATCACGTACTAAAGGGATGTATAAATGTGGAAAATGTCAGATTTGTAAATTTGTGGATCGTACAGATTCTTTCTGTGATTCAAAAAATAGCACTCACTATAAAATTCAAAGTCTTATAAATTGCTCTACAGTAAGAGTATTATATAGAATGACTTGCCCTTGTAAAAAGATGTATATTGGTAAGACTAAAAGACAACTTAAAGTACGAATGGGTGAACACTTTAGAGATATCAGATCCAATGACCCTGAGAGTAATTTAGCTCAACACTATGCTAAGCATCATGGAGGTAAATTGGATGGTACAAAAGTGAAAGGCTTCTATGCATTGCATTTTCCCCAAAGGAGAGGTGATTTTGATAAAGAATTATTAAGAAAGGAAAAATATTGGATATATAAACTTGATACATTATACCCAAAGGGGTTAAATGTAGAGTGTGATCTCCAGGTATTTCTGGATAAATAGCTTTACACTGCATTTTTTCTATTTAATATTGCCAGTTTATGGTGAACCTGTGGTAATTCTCTATTTCCATTAAATGTTAAAATAACATATTAATGTAACATGATAAGCCCCTTTTTTTCTGTGGAGGTGTTCAACTGTCTGCTGGCTTAAATTTGAATTTAAATTTAAATACGATAAAAGATCAGCTATCGAGCTAATTAGCCTCCTTTCTATTGAAAATAAGTGTATGCTAATAAATGGTTATCGTGATTTCCAGGTATCTTTGGTGAAATAGCCCTATTTAGGGATTTCCTAATTAACATCACCATCTTCTGGTGGTTTTGTGGTAATTATTATTATGATCTTTAGATATCTTTAGTTAAATAGCCATATCTAGGGATTTCCTTATTAATATCGCCATCTTCTGGTGAGTTTGTGGTCATTTTTAATCTCCTTCAATACCAATAGAATTGTTAAGCCTTTCCTCTCTTTGATATATCCAGTAGCCTGTTCTTTTATATTTAAGTAATGACCAGTTGCTGTGCTAGTAATTAGCCCCTTTGTTCCCATTGAGAATAGCTGCAAGGTAATAATTTGCATAAGTGGGTGGGTTCAAACCCACTATAAATAGGAAGCTGGAATGCAGGAGTCTCATTGGTCCTGACGAAGCTGAGTGAGATACGCCCTTCGGCGAAACGCGTTGACCTCATATGTCAGACACGTCACTTCCGGTCATGCGCATTGGCGATATGCACGCCAACCAACGAGGAGGCAGCCATTTTCACATGCCATGAGTCATGCAAAAGCTGTACAGGCGCCATGGAGAAGTTGGAACTCGCGAAATGTCGGCTGATGTAAGCGGCAGTTCCCTGGATCAACATGACAGTACTCATGAAGGCTATTTTCTATTTTCTACTACTCTCTGCAGAGGTGGTGAGTGGATTGTTGCAGGACTAACGAGAAAGGCTCCTTGCGATTTATATTATATATACAATAGAGTGAGAGCTCTCAAAGTGACTATTCTTATATCGTTTGTCTTATTACAGGATGGGGACATTATGGTGCTTTATATAGAAACAAGGCATACTACATGTATTGCAACAGGCGGAAGATCTACTGGGCCTCATCTTGTTTTAAATATCAAAGTGGTTTGTAGTCCACATGTCGTGGTGAAGAAACCATACACAGCAGACCTCTGCTAATTGCATCTATTTCTCCATCAAGACAACTACAGGGACTCTTTCACCTATAAGAATCCTTGCAAATATTCACGTTTATTTCGGATAAATGGGCCCCAACCACTTGTGCCTTCGTAGGGTTGTACTGCATATATCCTATACTATATTATTGGGGTTATTTCCCCATTTCCAGTCCATGTTTTACCCATATTGCCTTATATAGGCTTAGGGTTATGCTTCTCTCCAGATGGCAACTGTATTTGTCTTTTTTGCTTGCATGTGATTATATACCTATGGTATCATTTTTGGAAAATCTCCTTCAGGGAGTATAACCTAAATGGTAACAATATATGCTCTTATATCTATAGCATGTGATATTATATACCTACGGTATAATTTTTTGAATACACCTCCTACAGGGAGTGTAACCAATGTGCAGTGCTGCAAATGCTTTAGACTCTGGTGGTCATAGCCATTGCAGCACATTTATCCAGACCGGTCTTGGTGTGATTTTATTGTTTTAGGTCTGTGTGTATTGTCTCATACTGGGTGATGGTAAACCAGGGCGATTGCCCGATTGTCAATCATTTAAGTGTAATAAAGCATCATTTTTGGAAATTTTTCTGAGTAGCGCATTCTGTTCATAATGTAGCCGCTTTCCTGTGAATCTCTTTTCACGAATCCCTTTTTTGGTCTGCATGTTTTTTGGCTACTGGATGGAAGCCATATATTGGGTGATACAGTAATTTATATTTAAACCTCTTAAAATTTATTTTTTACTAACTGGAAGAGGACATAGAAGCCTGACTTTTTTTTAATGTTTTTGGGAGACTGCATGTGATCAGCACAGGGCCAATCAACGCTGTCCAGGCAGAGGGTTAGGGGTTATGCAGCCTCATAGGACAATCAGGGGAGAATGAAAGCTCCTTTTACAAGCTTTAAACCAGTGCTCTGCTGGACCCTGATTTAAGTCACAAGACTGCTATATACTGCTGATGAGAAAAGGGATTTAGCAGTTTACGTTTAGTAAAATATTTGCATTTCCATGTTCTGTGAGAGACTGGATATAGTGAATGCGGGGTCCGGGGAGAGTGGATATAGTGAATGCGGGGTCCGGGGAGAGTGGATATAGTGAATGCGGGGTCCGGGGAGAGTGGATATAGAGAATGCGGGGTGCGGGGAGAGCGGATATAGTGAATGCGGGGTCCGGGGAGAGCGGATATAGTGAATGCGGGGTCCGGGGAGAGCGGATATGGTGAATGCGGGGTCTGGGGAGAGCGGATATAGTGAATGTGGGGTCCGGGGAGACCTGATATAGTGAATGCGGGGTCCAGGGAGAGCGGATATAGTGAATGCGGGGTCCGGGGAGAGCGGATATAGTGAATGCGGGGTCCGTGGAGAGCGGATATAGTGAATTCGGGGTCTGGGGAGAGCGGATATAGTGAATGCGGGGTCCGGGAGAGAGCGGATATAGTGAATGCGGGGTTCGGGGAGAGAGCGAATATAGTGACTGCGGGGTCTGGGGAGAGCAGATATAGTAAATGTGGGGTCCGGCGAGACCTGATATAGTGAACGCGGGGTCCGGGGAGAGCGGATATAGTGAATGTGGGGTCCGGGGAGAGCGGATATAGTGAATGCGGGGTCCGGGGAGAGCGGATATAGTGAATGCAGGGTCCGGGGAGAGGAGATATAGTGAATGCGGGGTCCGGGGGGAGCGGATATAGTGAATGCGGGGTCCAGGGAGAGCGGATATAGTGAATGCAGGGTCCGGGGAGAGAGGATATAGTGAATGCGGGGTCCGGGGAGAGCAGATATAGTGAATGCAGGTTCTGGGGAGAGCGGATATAGTGAATGCAGGGTCCGGGGAGACCGGATATAGTGAATGCGGGGTCCGGAGAGAGCAGATATAGTGAATGCGGGGTCCGGGGAGAGCGGATATAGTGAATGCGGGGTCCGGGGAGAGCAGATATAGTGAATGCGGGGTCCGGGGAGAGCGGATATAGTGAATGCAGGTTCTGGGGAGAGCAGATATAGTGAATGCAGGTTCTGGGGAGAGCAGATATAGTGAATGCAGGTTCTGGGGAGAGCAGATATAGTGAATGCAGGTTCTGGGGAGAGCCTTCCCACTTAGCTGTTACTAGACCCAACTCCAACCTTTGAATGAACCTGGCATATCCACAACGGTACCCCTGCTCGCCTTACACCAGCACCCTCCAGTTCCAGTCCACAGTGTCAGCACCCAGGCTCAACTTCCAGGGGTGCTCAGATGGGAACTGAGCAAGAGGCCACCTTCATCATCTTGGACTCCGCATACCAGTACTTGAGAGCATAATGGGATTCAATCTTTCCAGCATTCGCACACAATGAATGTACACGCAGTTTTGCATTATAAATAGCTCTAAAATTTGTTAAAAAATACACCTCTAAGTATTGGGAACACCTTCATGTGATACCTGTAATACTCTGCCCAGCAGAAGAGCCAGCTCGCTGGTTGGGATAACAAGGTCCTCACCGATGACTTCCAGACAGTCCATGAAATCAGTGGGTGTCATGGCCAGGAGTAGATCCACACCCCATGCAGAGACAATGCTGTCACGAAGAATGTCGCACGTAGGACCACTTGCTGCATGACATTGTTAGAAAAATCATAATTTCTATCAGTCTTAGCAACTTTTATTTACACAGGATAAATACTATTTTTCAGCTTGGTGTAGAGTAGGGACCAGCTTGGGTTTGGTCTATTGGTAGGCCAGAGAGCAGCAGGCGGAAGATTTCCATTGCTGCAGCTGCATGTATAGAAAAGTGTGGGAATGTTTGTGACATCAATGTAGCCGCATGTCATGTTATTTGGTCATTGGCCTTGATCTACTATGGCCTCATCCCAATACTAGGCCAATGTTGTCATAAACATCTCTGCTCCTTCGAGAATGTGTAGCCGGAGGGAAGGGAATCTCCTGCCAGCAGCTTGTTGGCCCAGCAATCTTCAGGGTTCGGGTGAACTTGGGTTTCACAATGAACTCAAACATGAGCTTGTCACTGATGTGAAGACAAAAGTAACTGAATGTGTCAATGAAGATAAGAAATCACTACATATAATGAAAGTAAGGCCCATCGTGCTCATCTCTCTACTGATGCCGGCTTATCTGCCTAGGGAAAGGTACAAAATGGCTACAATAAAACTGGAAAAGGATGAGGCTCTGGGCACCAAGCTTAAGGTGTTATTACACCCCGGACCCCGCATTCACTATATCCGCTCTCCCCGGACCCCGCATTCACTATATCCGCTCTCCCCGGACCCCGCATTCACTATATCCGGTCTCCCTCGGACCCCGCATTCACTATATCCGGTCTCCTCGGACCCCGCATTCACTATATCCGCTCTCCCCGGACCCCGTATGCACTATATTCGCTCTCCCTGGACCCACATTCACTATATTCGCTCTCCCCGGACCCCGCATTCACTATATCCGCTCTCCCCAGACCCCGCATTCACTATATCCGCTCTCCCCGGACCCCGCATTCACTATATCCGCTCTCCCCCCGGACCCCGCATTCACTATATCCGCTCTCCCCGGACCCCGCATTCACTATATCCGCTCTCTCCCCGGACCCCGCATTCACTATATCCGCTCTCCCCCGGACCCCGCATTCACTATATCCGCTCTCCCCGGACCCCGCATTCGCTATATCCGCTCTCCCCGGACCCCGCATTCACTATATCCGCTCTCCCCGGACCCTGCATTCACTATATCCGCTCTCCCCGGACCCAGCATTCACTATATCCGCTCTCCCGGACCCCGCATTCACTATATCTGCTCTACCCGGACCCCGCATTCAATATGTCCGCTCTCCCCGGACTCCGCATCAACTATATCCCCCCAGCTCTCCCCCCGGACCCCACATTCACTATATCCGCTCACCCCGGACCCCACATTCACTATACAGTATATCCGCTCTCCCCGGACCCCTCATTCACTTTATCCGCTCTCCCCGGACTCTGCATTCACTACAATATATCCGCTCTCCCCGGACCCCGTATTCACTATATCCGCTCTCCCTGGACCCCGCGTTCACTATATCCGCTCTCCCCGGACCCCGCATTCACTATATCCGCTCTCCCCGGACCCCGCATTCACTATATCCGCTCTCCCCGGACCCCGCATTCGCTATATCCGCTCTCCCCGGACCCCGCATTCACTATATCCGCACTCCCCGGACCCTGCATTCACTATATCCGCTCTCCCCGGACCCAGCATTCACTATATCCGCTCTCCCGGACCCCGCATTCACTATATCTGCTCTACCCGGACCCCGCATTCACTATGTCCGCTCTCCCCGGACTCCGCATCAACTATATCCGCTCTCCCCGGACCCCACATTCACTATATCCGCTCACCCGGACCCCACATTCACTACAGTATATCCGCTCTCCCCGGACCCCGCATTCACTTTATCCGCTCTCCCGGACTCTGCATTCACTACAATATATCCGCTCTCCCCGGACCCCGTATTCACTATATCCGCTCTCCCCGGACCCCGCGTTCACTATATCCGCTCTCCCCGGACCCCGCATTCACTATATCCGCTCTCCCCGGACCCCGCATTCACTATATCCGCTCTCCCCGGACCCCGCAATCACTATATCCGCTCACCCCGGACCCCACATTCACTACAGTATATCCGCTCTCCCCGGACCCCACATTCGCTATATCCGCTCTCCCCGGACCCCGCATTCACTATATCCGCTCTCCCCGGACCCCGCATTCACTATATCCGCTCTTCACGGACCCTGCATTCACTATATCTGCTCTCCCAGGACCCCGCATTCGCTATATCCGCTCTCCCCGGACCCTACATTCACTATATCCGCTCTCCCCGGACCCCCAATTCACTATATCCGCTCTCCCCGGACCCCGCATTCACTATATCCGCTCTCCCCCGGACCCCGTATTCACTATATCCGCTCTTCACGGACCCTGCATTCACTATATCTGCTCTCCCCGGACCCCGCATTCGCTATATCCGCTCTCCCCCCGACCCTACATTCACTATATCCGCTCTCCCCGGACCCTGCATTCACTATATCCGCTCTCCCCGGACCCCGCATTCGCTATATCCGCTCTCCCCGGACCCCGCATTCGCTATATCCGCTCTCCCCGGACCCCCGCATTCGCTATATCCGCTCTCCCCGGACCCCCATTCACTATATCCGCTCTCCCCGGACCTGCATTCACTATATCCGCTCTCCCCGGACCCCGTATTCACTATATCTGCTCTCCCCGGACCCCACATTCTCTACAGTATATCCGCTCTCCCCGGACTCCGCATTCACTATATCCGCTCTCCCCCGGACTCCGCATTCACTATATCCGTTCTCCCCGGACCCGCATTCACTATATCCGCTCTCCCCGGACCCCGCATTCACTATATATCCGCTCTCCCCGGACCCTGCATTCACTATATCTGCTCTCCCCGGACCCCGCATTCACTATATCCGCTCTCCCCGGACCCTTCATTTACTACAGTATATCCGCTCTCCCCGGACCCCGCATTCACTATATCCGCTCTCCCCGAACCCCTGCATTCCCTATATCCGCTCTCCCCGGACCCCGCATTCACTATATCCGCTCTCCTCGGACCCCGCATTCACTATATCTGCTCTCCCTGGACCCTGCATTCACTATATCCGCTCTCCCCGACCCCGCATTCACTATATCCGCTCTCCCCAGACCCCGCATTCACTATATCGGCTCTCCCCGGACCCTGCATTCACTATATCCGCTCTCCCCGGACCCCGCATTCACTATATCTGCTCTCCCCGGACCCCGCATTCACTATATCCGCTCTCTCCCCGGACCCCGCATTCACTATATCTGCTCTCCCTGGACCCCGCATTCACTATATCCGCTCTCCCCCGGACCCCGCATTCACTATATCTGCTCTCCCCAGACCCCACATTCACTATATCCGCTCTCCCCGGACCCCGCATTCACTATATCCCCTCTCCCCCCGGACCCCGCATTCACTATATCTGCTCTCCCTGGATCCCGCATTCACTATATCCGCTCTCCCCGGACCCCTGCATTCACTATATCCGCTCTCCCCGACCCCGCATTCACTATATCTGCTCTCCCTGGACCCCGCATTCACTATATCTGGTCTCCCTGGACCCCGCATTCACTATATCTGGTCTCCCACAGCACACAGTACATGGAAATGCAATTATTTTAGTAAATAGAAACTTCTAAAGAAAATGGATAACGATCTCTTTAGAAAAATGATAGCTGCTTGTCATTGGCTCTTGTACATTCAGGTGGTGACAGGGTCTCTTTAACTAGTTGCAGACTTTGGGCATGCTGCACACACCTATAAAAAAAGGTCATCATTGTACACAGGACATGTGTAGCACGTCCAGTCCTTCCCTCCTTCACTCCCCTCCCAGTAGACAGCAATTCACTTCTTATTAAAAAGGAAGTATGGGGAATACAAACAAAATACATAAAATATACTTGCCTGGATGGCTGCAGCGCTGATCCCAGCTTCAGTTGTCCCCCGTCGTTTCTACCTCGAGAACTAAGCGATCAAACACCACTGATCGCTCAGTTCTACAGCTCTGCTCTGGGCAGAGAGGGGTGACTGTCAGTCACCGGCTCTCTGTTCTGCCCCCCCCAATGGGAGGGCCTGGCTCAGGATGTCAGCGCCATGCTAAGAGGCTGAGCCAGCTGCTAGTCTAGGCATCTGGGTGTTTCCCAACGGTAAAGTCGGGATCTTTGCCAAGCCTGGATCGGCTGAGTGAGGTCGAACGAACTGCACTTCTGTGATCCATAGAACAGCCAAAACAACTTTGTCTATATGACTTTGTTTATAAATACAATTGCTCAGGTGCTACAGAAAGATACAATGTAACATATTGTTACCTTTGTATCAACTTTTGTATCATTCTGTTCATTCATCTGCAGATCGAAGGGATGAATATCCATCTGTGGATGATGTCAGTTAAAGTGGTACTAAAGGTTCAGGCTAGGTTCACATACATGCGGTGCGGTACATCGCATGTGATTCGCACAGGAACCGCACCGCATTCCTATGTAAATCACATGCGAATTCTGTGCGGTGCAAGTTGAGCCATACATTATGCTCCC